GCCAACAGGCCCGCGCGCGTTGCTGCGCCGCCGGTGCTTGAAACCGCTCCAGAGCGGCGTAGTTTCAGCGCATCCCCTTCCCGTACCCCTAAACTTTCGGCATTAACGGCTGCAGGCTGCTTCTGCAAAGAAATCTGGCAGGGCTGACATCAGCCGTGACGTCATTTGACCGTCTCCAGCTTTCTGACTTAAAAACCGGCGCAGGTTACGCGCAGTGCCGTGTAGGGTTGTACTCGACCGCGCTTCTCTGCAAACAATAAGGTCATAAAATCCACGCCCTAAAGCCACACTCGCAACCGCTTCGGGGTGTTTTTGCGCCTTGCTGTAATTTGTCGGCGAGCAGAGAAACCACCTACTCCCCAAAGCCACAAGTGCCGATTTCAGAGCCCTGGGCCTGGCAGCTATTTTATATATTACAGCAATTATAACTTTTTGGGGTTTTTTTTGTAGATTTCCCAGAAAATCAGTAAATTATATCTCTTTAAAAGTCCTCAGATCAGATGAGAAATAGAAGACATCTCCAGGGTGTAGCTGGAGCTTTAAAACAACGTATTACCTGTTTGTGGCTGCGTGTTGCAGCGAGAAAGAAAAAAAAAAAAAATCGGATCCATAAAACTGTCTGTAAGGTGATCGCTGGAAAATCGTACTAAAGCCCCTTCAGGATGAGCTTTTGGTTCTGGGTCTCCGTCTCACCGGGCTTCATTTTTGCCGCAGGCACTTGTTTTCCACGCTTCATGTTGCACGCTTTCAGATTTTGCAAAGCAAACAGCCGCCCTGGGGATGGACAGTTTGATGAAGAGGAGGGAAGGACTGCTCCTTATTCTCCTCTCTCCTAGAAAATCCTGTTTTATAGCTTGCTTTCACTACGCCAGAAACAGCTGGACATTTGCTGAGGTGAAGACAAGGCAGATGGATGGTGTGCATTAAATCACAACACCTCCTTCCAGATCTTCAACTGCTATTATTTCCACCTAACTATAAATAAAAATGTTTCTTCCCTGTGAACACTGATGAACATTTTCCCACTTGCGATTTCCTATTGTTCTTCACAGTGGTATAAATCTCATGTACTTGAAAACAATTATGCTGAAAAGTACAGGAGAGCTAGTACGATTTTCCTTCTTTTTTTAACGCCTTCCTAAACAAGAACCAGCTGAAGGCAAGTAACATCATCTCTGCATAGGACTACCTAAGAAAAATAAATGTCCTAAGCTTCACACAAAACTGAGGAAGATGCAGACCAGGTTAGTGCCAGAAGTTGAATTTTTTCCTTTGCAGGTCAGAGACTCCCATTGCAAACTGGTCTGGAAATGTGTCTTTTAGTTTGATTACTCTGGTCAATAGGAACAAGGAAGACAGCCTTGTCACTCCCCAGAATAAAATAACTTCTTTGAGGTTTATTCATCAGTCATAACTGTGATGGTCTAGCAGAGTATCGTTTTTATTGCATCTGAGGTGTTTAACAGAATAAATCATTCAGTGAGCAAGAAACTACCAAAACCTCTTTTTAAACAAAATTTATCTACTGAGGCGTAAATTTTTGCTGAACATTTGCTTCGAGTTTGTGTGTTTATTAAGGTACTCTGTTCTCATACATGCTCTCCAGTGAAATCTCTGCTAACAATGCAGCTCAGAGAGAGCACAAATACATTTTCTCAGCCCTGCTCAGCAGCTCTATTCATTAAACATCATGAGATCAATTTGTTGGGTTTTTTTTTAGATCTTTAATTTTTTTTTTCAAATGTGGATGAAACTGGCTGACGGGATCAAAAGTTATTATGGGGATCAAAGGTTATTATGGGCAAGGTGGACAGATAAATACTGACACATACGTACATATGTATGTACTCAATAAAATGGTATATGCTTCATTTCCTTCAGTACACAGAAGAGAGATGTAAAAAATGAGCCAGTTATGTATGAAGTGTCTGAAGCTGCAATTGCTGCGTTTGTACAGATGTTGTAAGATGACTGTAGAATGATGATTGGTGGCTTGTACTTTTTGCTGAGTAAAAAACTGGCTGGATGGCCGGGTCCAAAGAGTGGTGCTGAATGGAGTTAAATCCAGCTGGTGGCCGGTCACGAGTGGTGTTCCCCAGGGCTCAGTACTGGGGCCAGTTCTGTTTAGTATCTTTATCAGTGATCTGGACGAGGGAATTGAGTGCATCCTCAGTAAGTTTTCAGACAACAGCAGGTTGGGCGGGAGTGTTGATCTGCTGGAAGGTAGGGAGGCTCTGCAGAGAGACCTGGGCAGGCTGGATCGATGGGCCAAGGCCAGTTGTGTGAGGTTCAACAAGGCTCAGTGCTGGGTCCTGCGCTTGGGTCGCAACAGCCCCACGCAGCGCTAAAGGCTTGGGGAAGAGCAACGGGAAAGCTGCCTGGTGGAAAAGGACCTGGGGTGGTGGCCAACAGGACAACATGAGCCAACAGTGTGCCCAGGTGGCCAAAAAGGCCAACGGCAACCTGGCTTGTGTCAGAAATAGTGTGGCCAGTGGGACTAGGGAAGGTATCATGTCTCTATACTCATCACTGATGAGGCTGCACCTCGAATACTGTGTTTAGTTTTGGGCCCCTCGCTACAAGAAAGACATTGAGGTGCTGGAGCGTGTCCAGAGAAGGGCAACGAAGCTGGTGAAGGGTCTGGAGCACAGGTCTGCTGGGGAGCGGCTGAGGGAACTGGGGGGGTTTAGTCCGAAGAAAAGGAGGCTGAGGGGAGCCCTTGTTGCTCTCTATGACTACCTGAAAGGAGGTTGGAGCAAGGTGGGTGTCAATGTCTTCTCCCAAGCAACAAGCAATAGGACAAGAAGAAATGGCCTCAAGTTGTGACAAAGGAAGTTTAGACTGGGTATCAGGAAAAAGTTCTTCATTGAAAGGGGTTGTCAAGCACTGGAACAGGCTGCCCAGGGAAGGGGCTGAGTCACCATCCTGGGAAGTATTTGAAAGGTGTGTGGATGTGGTGCTTAGGGACATGGGTTAGTGGTGAACTTGGCAGTGTGAGGTTCATGGTTGGACGCAATGATCTTAAAGATCTTTTCCAACCTAAATAATTCCGTGATTCTGTGATTCTATGATCTCCAATAATACTTCTTAGTTTTATTAAGGATGCAGACCCAGACTTGGAAATATGCAAGAGAGGTCCAGAAAGTCCAAAGCCCAAATTCTGCCTGTAGCTATGGCAGCAACATTGCCATTTACTTCATATTAACCTACAATCAGTTCTCCATTACCCATAAAATGGGAGGGCTGTGATACCATGGATGAAGAAAAAACCCCTGAAACTCATAAATAATGAGTCTTGAAAAGCATAATTAACCCAAAGCAAGGCCAGAGCTCTGTTGTAGTTGATCAGCTGGGATGGATCCACTAAGGTTGAGAGAAGTGGAGGAAAAGTGCCAGCAGATGCACCAGAGCTATCCCTGAGGCCAACAGACTCTGGTCAGGAGCATCTTCCTGAGTCAAGATGGCCTAACCAGTCCCAGGAGCAGCATGGATCTTCCCATTTTACTAAAGTAAGGTTATCTGGACTCAGAATGACTGCACGTAGCCAGCTTGGATCTTCCAGCCTAATCCAGGGAGGTCACCCAAAGGAGGCTGACACTTGACAGCATTTCTTTATGTCTGATGAACAGATGTTAGGAGTGTTCCAGTTAAAGGCTAAAAAAAAATAAAGACAACGTGATTTAGGCTTACTCCATTAATACAGAAAAATGATGAAATGTCCCACAGGGGATTTTTTTTTCAGTAAATTACTATAAAAGAAACAGATTCATTGTGAGTAAAGGAAGAAAATGCAGGATGTGAAAATGCCAGTGTGTTTTTCCAGCTTTAGTTGCCTTCCAGATGTTAATCACTTTCTTAGTTCTGATTACCTACATCCTTGGTCCCTGAATCATCAGTTAAGGAGGGTTAAAGTTACAGAGCACTTTCTGACTGTTCAGAAAGCAAAACGACAGAAAAAACTTGTTGACAGCAGCAACATTTCATCATTTCCTAAGGAGGCAAAGCCCAACAGTGTAAAAAAAATACAAGGTAAAATTAGTTTGTAATAATCCATTTTATTGTGTGGTCGAAGTGTTACCTGAAATAAAGACTCTCGAAACCAGAAATTAGTTTAGAGAGGAGATACCGCTTTATTTTGTGCAGGGTTCCAGGTGGAAAGCATCCACAAATCAAGCACACCACAGCAAAGAACTTCCAAGTATTGATACACTCCAAACTACGTAATTACATCTTTTCTGTGATGATTATTTGTTAGTTGCTTATCGCTCCTATCCCTTATTGGTTAGTAACATACAGTGGGTTTGTCAACTTTCTGCACAAGCTGGAAGGGTAAGGGTGTGTATCCAGGCAGGTGTCTTAAGCT